CTCTCCCACTCCCCCTGCTTGTGTTCCCTCTCTCACTGTGTCTCTATCAAATAAATAAATAAAATCTTTAAAAAAATAATAATAACTTGGTTTTCAAAATTTTAAGTTAATATTAAAAACTTCTAATTTAAATTTAAAAATAAAATTCTGTCATCAACTAGTAATTAAAAGAACACAAGCCACAAACACGTTACTGTGCAGTCAGATAAAAACTGATGACTTTAAATAAACTTTTAGGAAAAACTGTTACCTAGTACTCTGTCAACCATAAAGGTGCTGATACATTGTCATGTTCTCCAAGAAGCTCAATAAAAACACACAGTTAAAGTGCTTATGACTACAGCCAAGCAGAAGAAAACAAGGATAAAAGGGTAACTTCCTGCAAAATCTGAGGACACTAGCAAAAATATAAAGAACTCTATGAAAGATGAAAAGGCGGGGGCAAAACTTTTAATAGACACAGTTTGGTTAAAAATTTAAGAAACAAGAGTCAAGGCTTAAGAAAAACAAACAAACAAAAAACCAGAAAATAATATGTGCCAGATACGGTGGCTCTGGCTTAACAACATAGGGGGGAAAAATCATTAGACTGATGTTTAATTGGATATCGATCATATCCAAGCACAGTTTTTTTCTATTAAAAGACATCAAATGTAGAAACTTAAGTTCAAAAATATCAGAAAATAAATCATAAAAATCCCAATATTTTATACCGTATTTTCCTGATGATTTGAATACACTATACCTTCTCAAACACTTTATTTCCCACCCCCCCCATATTGGGTAACATTTGTCTGGTGGGGGAGGGCTTACTTGTACTGTCTAAGGGGCTATCACTTCCTATAGTTCTCAGAAGTGTTGGTTAAATTTGCCTCTTGGATTCTAGATTCCCTATGAATCATGAAGAAAGGAATTTTGTGAAAGCAAATAAGTTACATGCAGAACACACATGTACACACACGTATGCAAACAAAACAACTAGTCTACCTGCTAACTTCCCACGGTCATGGTTTTGAAATCATACATGGCAGGAGAGAGATGTAGAGGCTTTCTGCTCTTTTCCCTGGGGAACTGTAGAATAGTTCATATTTCACAATTTTCCATTGCAATCCCTGTACCATGTGGTGTTAAACTTTTAAACAATCATTATCCTGCTAATACTCCTTCATTTAAGCAATATTTATTAAGCATGTACCATGGACAAGTCAATGTGCTAGATGCTCAGTGGTGAATATGACAGAAAGCACAGACAGAAAGCATTTTCTCATATTCCTCAAGTGAGAGTCAGTCATTATATTACCTAGAGGCAAATACACATATCAAAACTTACATGACTATACTTTAAATATGTTGTAAAAAGGCAAAGGAGTGGTGAAAAATCAGTTACAGATAATTTTTTAAAACTGTCTAGGTGGCGGCGCCTGAGTGGCTCAGTCGTTTAGCGTCTGCCTTCGGCTCAGGTCATGATCCCAGGGTCCTGGGATGGAGCCCCACATCAGGCTCCCTGCTCCATGGGAGGCCTGCTTCTCCCTCTCCCACTCCCCCTGCTTGTGTTCCCTCTCTCGCTGTGTCTCTGTCAAATAAATAAATAAAATCTTAAAAAAAAAAACAACAACAAAACTGTCTAGGTGAGTTACATCTCTAGAGTTCACATAAACTCAGAAATTCTGTTAGTGCTAGTATTTATTAATGACATCAAACTCACATGTCTTCAGAATCAGAAGGTCCTTCTTTAATATGCTCATCTTCAATTTCATCTATTTCAAGATTGTCTTGACATGCATCTCCTACAGTGGGCACATCCATCAGTGTTCTGAACAATTTTGAGAGATCTGGAAGTGAACATGTCCTCAACATCTAAAAAAGTCAACAGATTTCTTAGTAGGAGTAAGATCATTAGAAAATAAAAATGAACTAAAAAAATTAGAGCTAATACTAATTTTTTATTTTATATCATATATTTAGAGTTAGAAGCTCCAGAGGTGACTCGTCTTAAGATTAGAACCTAATTTTCTTGAATTTCAGCTCTGTATTTTTTCAGTGAGTAAACTAAACCAGTAGGGATTCACTTAAGTCACCATTAAAAGGCAGGAAGAGGTGTTTAGTTGGGGTATGCCCAGGGAATGGAATTAGAAATCTGTCAGAAATCAGGCAGTGCCAGAAACTGCCAATTTGCTCCTTCTTACTCAAGACCCACACTGTCCCTCTTTTATTGTCTCTCTTTCTCTCACACTTTCCTATGGCCAATCTTCCCCATATATTTTCCCCAAATCCTGAACTGAGTTAGTCTGAAGCTTGGCAAAGCACTATCACACATAATTAGTGGCCCTCTGTATCATAGGGCCTGCTGGGTAGCCAACAATGGTTAAATAAGGAACTTCATATTAGTGCAAAATAAAAAAGTCCAATATCACTTCCATGAACAAGGGACTGTAATTGGAGCCTTTCCCACAAGAAGGCAAGGCTAGAAAGACAGGTACTTGATGTTCATACCGAGAATCATTTATGGCAGCAGGTGAGAAGAAACTGACTTGAGAAAAAAACAATGTACAGTTGAGGTGTTTAAAATTTGAATTTGTTTGGATAAGACCAGGAATAACAGAAATAGCCCCTGTCCACCAACCTATCAGCAATTAGAATGTGATGGACAGACAGGACAATGAAACAAATGTCTATATACATAAGCCTCAGAATTCGGTTAATAACCATAAAGGAACCTGTGAGATTTGGGAAACCTAACTCCTAAGGCCCTGGTAAGAATCCTACACCAGATTGGGGACTGTGAAGAAAACACAATGTTTAGCATATTAATGAAAATTTATATACTTTGCCAATTTAATTGGTACAATCTGTTTTTGAGAATAAAAAAGAATAGATTTCCATTATTTGAACATAATTTACATATTACAGCACACGAAAAAAATAGTTATGAACTACAAGATGGTGACGATACATTGCTTGTTAAAACACTTAATGATGGTACTGAAGATACTTATTTTGCTGAATCTCCCACTGTTGGCAGAATTTATGCTTGACTTGTTTATTATTTGAACCATGTATATTATAAACCAGCAGTGTGCAAAATATGCATATAGTAACATTTTCTCCAGGTAGATGCTAAAATCAAAAATATATAGCATATATGCATTATATACCTAAATTCAAGGGGACTCTATAAAGATGTAATATTTTTTAGGCTGAGATAAATTCTAATCCTTGTAAAAAAAATCTCAATTTTAGTTTATTCCTTTCACTAATTAAAATAGCTTTCCTAACCTAACATGAAATAATACAGTAGAAAGAAATTTCAAGAGGTATGTAATTTGGCAATTTTCCTCTTGGAATGGGTCTATGCACCCATCAGTCCAACAGCTATCTGTCCTATATTAAAAATGCTTCATGTTCACAGTCTTCTTTGATAAGATTTTTTAGATGTTTTTGTTGTTGGTTAAGTTCTACTTTTTCTCAAAAAATGAAGAGAACCACATAGGTTGGTGGACAGGGGCTATGTCTGTTATTCCTGAATATTTAAAGCAAAAACAATAAAAATTTACATGTGGATGTAAAATACAAGACAACAATGCCAAAAGAATAGACAACAGGGTGGAAATGGAAGTACACTGTGAAAAGGTTCTTATGTCATATGTGAAGTGGTATAATATTATTTGAAGGAAGACTGTAAAAAGCTAAAACTGCATCTTGAAAGCAGAGAATTACAACTAAGTTTTTGAAAAGGTCTGTATTGGCAAATAGTAGAGATAAAATGCTAAAAATACTCAATCTGAAAGAAGGGAGAATAAAAGTAAAATAAGAACAGAAAAAGTGATGAGACCAATAGAAAACAAATAGCAAAATGGTAGGTTTAAACTCAGTCATACCAATAATATATCAAAAATTACATGAAAAGTAAATGGTCTAATCACTTTAAATAAAAGAGGTGGTCAGACTGGTTAAAAAGCAAGACTTGACAACGTGACAGCTACAAAAAAATCTACTTTACATAAAAATCAGTGTGATTACAAGAAGGTAAAATATATATATACACCTTACAAATACTAATCATCAGACAGCTGGAATGGCTATACTAAAACCAGACAAAATAGATTTCAGAAGAAGGTGATATGACCAAGAATAAGGAGAGCCATTTCATAATGATAAAGAAGGCAATTTATCAAGAAGATATAAAGATTATTAATTTACATTCAATTGACTGGAAATTTCAATACTCCTTTTTCAGTAGCTGATAAACAAGTAGAAAGAAAATCAGTAAGAACACAGAAGATGAACAACACTATCAAACAAAAAGGGACCCTTCATAACAATAAACCTATCAATTCATCCAGAAGGAATAGTAATACTAAATTTTTATTCACTCAATAAAAAAATTTCAAAATACATGGAACAAAAATTGACACAAATGAAAAGACAGATAATTATATAGTTTTTTCCATTCTTTTCTCAACAAATGATATAACTAGATACAACAGACAAAAAAATTAGTAAAGATAAAGAAGATTTGAACAGCACTATCAACCAATTTGACTTAATTCCTGACATTTATAGAACATTTTACATGATGATAGAAGAATACACATTTTTTTAAAAAGATTTTATTTATTTGAGAGAGAGAGAATGAAAGAGAGAGCACATGAGGTGGGGGAGGGTCAGAGGGAGAAGCAGACTCCCTGCCGAGCAGGGAGCCTGATGGCAGGACTCGATCCAGGGACTCCAGGATCACGACCTGAGCCGAAGGCAGTCGCTTAACCAACTGAGCCACCCAGGCGCCCAAGAATACACAACCTTTTAAAGAGATCTGTTAGAGTAGTAGCCACCAATAAAGGAGACTGAAGGGTGACTCATGAGTGCAGAGGAAAATATGATATAAAGAAAGCCAAGAGATAAAACTATTTTAAAAATAAAGTGTGTATCAACTGTGTTGGGAGAAGAAAAGTCAAGAAAGGTGAGAGAGAAAAAGGTACTGGGAATTTGGCAATATACTAGTAATTGATTTGACAAAAGCCATTTTAATGGAGGAGTGGGCTAAAAGTCATGTTGGAATGTATCTGGAAGTGAATGGAAGTGGAGACTGTAAAGATATAACATACTCAAGATGTTTGGTTGTAAAAGGGAGCAGAGAAAGGGGTGGTAGCTAGAGAAGGGCATGTTCTCATGAGAAGTTTGCTAATTATGATGGGACTTATTAGAATATGCATGTTGAGGAAATGATCCATTATAGAGGAAAAAGTTGATGATACAAGCTAGTGTGACCAAAGTAAACGAGTAAATTCTTGAGAAGGTGAGAGAGGTTAGATTCAAAGTACAAGGAGGATTTCCTTTAATAAAAAAAAGAAGACAAGTGGCATAACAACATTTTTAAAAAGAATTTTAACAAAAATCTTTGTAAGAGCTCAAATTATTCCATTTAGTAAACATTATTTAAATGGTTATAAATAATTTTTACCTTTTCTTCATATTTCAAGGTCACCATTTTGGCCCAGTGATGAATGCGCATGACCTCAAAGACTTTTTTTTAAAGATTTTTATTTATTTATTTGACAGACAGAGAGAGAGCACAAGCAGGGGGAGCAGCAGAGGGAGAAGGAGAAGCAGACTCCCCGCTGAGCAGAGAGCCTGATGCGAGGCTCAATCCCAGGACCCTGGGATCATGACCTGAGCCGAAGATAGATGCTTAACGACTGAGCCACCCAGGTGCCCCTCATGACCTCAAAGATTTAAGGGATAGACAGGTATGGCCTTCTGTCCTTGTCTTAAACGGCTACAAATCGCTTTGATTTTCTAGGGTTTTTTCTTGCCCCTCCCCCTCACAGTCAGTCCCCTACACGAAATCTGCTTTGTTGTGCTTACTTCCCAAGTAAGTACTTCCGTAGAACTACTAAGGCTGAACTAAGGCCATGAAAGAAAATCAAATAATAAATTGTATTATGCAAGGAATGTTAACTTTATACACAGAAATAAGTTATTCAAAAGCTCTGGGCTAAAGACAGTTAGCTATACACCTTTACTACAAAAGAAAGTACATGAATTATAGGATAATCCTTGTCTGTACCATAAATAGGTCTTATTCTCAAACTCTGAAGATCATAAATTTGTTTTCAGTTTATTATCTTTGAAAGTTTGACTGCTATTAGACAAGTGAGAGAATTTCACAATCTCTACATTTAAAATAAGCTTAAGAAAACACTCCAAAAAATAAAAACATATCCAATTTGAAAATTAAATTGAAAATCAAAATGACATATTTAAAAAGGACAAAAGAATTCAGGTAATTCATTCTCATGTAGACTTAAATACATGAAAAATGTCCAACCCCACTGGTAAACACAGAAACACAAATTTTTAAAAATATCATTACTCACTAAATACACAATTTTTAAGTGAATGATAACAGTTGGTGCTTTTTAGAGTCCACACTCTTACATACTATTGAGGCATTATAAGCTATTTCTTAAAGGGAAATCAGTCAATATACAATATAACTTTTGAACTCCATTTACATAAATTTATTTTATGAAAATAATTGTGGCTACTGTCAACGATACAGATGTAGGTGGTTACTGTAACAAAAATTGAAACCTAAAGGCCCAACAAAAATAGATTAGTTAAAATATTATATCTACCATAGTAGCACAATGGAATTTGTGGTCATTATAGATGATAGAGATTATTTGATGATATGACAAAATGCTATTTTTATAATAATTTGCAATATTAACATTTGTAATAATTTTATAGTACATATTAAACAGAAAAGCAGGTTACAAAAAATATGCAT